AAAGATTATGTTTTAAGTTGTATGGTTAAGTAATATTAAATACAGTTTAGAATGCTGAAGAATTTTCTTACTAATTTATGAAAATGACACCATATTAAGGAAAAAGGCAACTATACATCGAAAACTTAGCAACGTTTGAATTATTTTATTTGATTTCTCAGTTTCAAGCAAAATTAGTGATTACATCTTATAATATTGATTATCCTCTTGTCTCAAATCAGGTTTTGGATAATTCATAAAAGAGAGAGATATAATTTTAGATTTAAACAGCTATTATTACATCATGGCATTATTTATTTTTAGAATTCAAAGATAATGAACTCAGTGTTAAAATAACTTTTTATGATTATTATTAAAATGATATCAAATCTTTTGAGGCATAAATTAAAGTCAGTTAATTTCATAATTGTTAATATAAATTACATTACGGAAATATCTTATAGAATCGTTTAAATTACTTGAATATGGCATTGAGAAATTTTCAATTTGGTAATTGCAAAGAAGATGAAAGGATTACAAAGTGTCATTAGAGTTGCTTAGATTGTGAGGGTTTTGGTAATACTCGTTGTTTGTCTTGTTCAGTTGAGTCAAAAAGAATATATATTCCTGAATTTAAGCAATGCATTTGTCCAACTGACACCTTAGATTATGAAAATAAATGTATTAATTATGAAGATTCAAATCTAAAAATACATGCTCTAAAGGAGAATGATTCTAAATGCAAAGCAGGCTACTTTGAATTAGACGATGATTGTGTATAATGGTATATATAATATTGAATAATTTCTAGTCCTTCTATTATAAAGAATAATCTAATTACTTGTTTTAATTGCTTTTATGGAGGGGAGGATTGGGCTTAATATGCCATTTGTGATAATAACATATATTTTCCTTCACAGATTGGGGAATATGAGAATAAACTCACAACGAGTATATAGTATTTTCATGACGGATCTGATTTAATAATCTGCGATACTTGCTTGCTTACTGGATTATCTCAAGATTTGTAAAATCCAGATGAAATTTATAAATTGTTTTTTTTTAAATCTTAGGGTTTCCAATTCTTTTGTTTTATAGAGGGGAATGCTGATGATGAAAGATGTACATATTGTAATGTCTCTAATTGCGAAATATGTGGCATTGATTTAGAATAAATAATATGTTTGCAATGTGAAAAGGGCAATATTTTGATTAATGGAAATTGTATAAGCTAAAAGGAAATATTAGCGTACAAATTTTGCCAACCTCCATATTACATGTCACATAATAAAGAGTGTAAGTTATGCGAAATAAATAATTGCCTATACTGTTTTGAGTATTATTTTAGTGATAGAATAGAATTAAGTACTTTTGAAATATCTGAATCCATTATTCTTGATATGTAATTTGACTCTGTCTATGTAGGTTGTACTTTATGTGAAGATGGTTATATTTTTGATTTTTCATTAGGTTTAT